TCCGGCAGGGGTTTTTAAAAAGTGCCCCTTTTGACAATTTTGTTATCAGTGGAAATCCAATTTTTTTATAGATAAGCGATGAATTCATTGACAATGCGAATGTAGAAAGAGTGTTTTCGCTAGTCACGCAGCAATAGGCGAAAGAAAGAAACTCCCTAAACATACACACGGTTTCTTCCCTGAACCGAGCGGCATGGCCTAGATGTTTAGACCATTACTTAGCATTCGGGAGGACGCCGGTTCGATTCCGTCTCCGTCAAAAAGTTTTTCTGTGGTTTCCTTAGATCACTTGGGCAAATGCTGAGTTAGCAATATTCCACAGATAAAATCTTTCATTCTCTTCTGCCATCATCTTGTCCCTCTCATTTTTCTCACCCGAACCACCACCCATTCATTCCCACGATTCCTGAAAAGAGGCTGAAGAGAGCCTCCCGTCCTACCTTCCGGCCTAATCCGGAAGAACTTCCCACCCACCAGCATTGGTGGCTAGTGGGAATGAAACACCCAAAAGTTTTTTCGGAATCAGTACCGAGCGGCATAACCTACAAGTTTAAACACTTACTTATTAACCGGGAGAAAACCGGTTAGATTCCGGGTTCTACTGCCCCGATTCAAGTTTTTCTGTGGTCTCCATCCGTATTTTTGTTTAATTTTAATTTATTTCTTTTTTATTTTCAATGTATTTTACATTTGAAGCTTAAGATACCTGTAGTTAATTTAAGTTTGCCCTGATGTGAAATCTTATTTTACACTATATACATCAAATAGATGAAGATATATTGGATTTAGTCCTTGATGTTCCGCCGCGATTCGACTGTACCATTNACGTTTCTAATTATTTTTGTTACCATATTACCTCAAAAAGTGTTTAAATTATATTAGAAATGTCTATTATTTGTTGCGGTTACATACGCACTTAATTCGATTTTAATTACAAGCTGTATAAATGAATAAAAATCAAAAAACTAGAACGATGTTTCTATTTTTGTTGCAAAAAATATTTTTTCAGAGGTATCCTGGGAAAAGACATATTTCGTCCAAATGTCCGGGATTTTTGCCGTGTTTATCCGGCGTTGGTAATTTAGGTGATGGCAGTCCTATCTCTGACGTACGTGTATACAAATGCATATAATATTCAGGGTGTAACTGCTTTAACTAGATGCAATTAGAAAAGCAGCGTTATTAAGAAACAAACGAATCTGTAAAAAACCCGCAACAAGTGGCGATGTGAAGCCGGTTCTAATTACAAATTTCGATAAGGATTGAGCAGCTACACATGGATGGCATCTAAACTAAACAATGCGGGTTGGCCAACGCCTAAGGTAAACTAAACAGCAACCTACCGCTTACTTATCGACGAGTTATTGGTTCTGGGAGCACCAGGGGTACAGACATACGTACGTACACTAAAAAAACTGTTAGAAATTGGAACCAAGTGGTGAAAAAAACATTATTTCTCACTCGCGCAAAAATGACAGAAGTTTACGAATTTCATTTATCGGAAAAATTGGCGTCTGAAACCAACCAACACAAATCCAATTGCGACTGAAAATCTGTTTAATGAAAAGTTCGTACTCGCTGCAAGTGATACGGATGCAGCAACTTTTGTTTTAAAATTCGCCACACTGCCATATGAGAGAAGTAGACGCTGGGTACTATTACGTGTGTTGTTTTCTATGAAATCAATAAATAAAAATATTAAAACATCTGTGCAACTGGGTCGAGTAAGTCTGTTGTTTTTCGATTTCCATCTTCCTTTCTTCCCGTCCAAATGGCTCCTTACATCGGCAATTTCCAATACAATAACAACAAAAAATCAGCCACTGCCCTGAGAGGAGATATGACGTCGCTTTATAAAATAATAACAACTATGATACACTGACTCAGTGCCATTGGCTGATATTGCTTATTACCAATTCAATGCAGCGTTGCGTTGTCGTATTTTTTTGCGTGATTTACCAGGGTCGTCCTAGTCCCTGTCTGTTCTTTGAAACCAATTTTTCTCGGAAACGATGGACATTCGGACCTGCACAAGTGTACTTACTTTTCTTGTTTTATAAAGCCCTATTACCTTGCCGCACTTGTTCTATTTACATCTTTTATAGTGCGGCATCGTTGACTATAGCATGACCGAACGACATGGCTTAGAGGTTTAGACTACTGTTTAGCAATTTTAAGTGATTTTGTAGTTTCCTAGGATTACTTAGACAAATTTCCTATACCTAGCTTTTTATTTACTATAGCATTTACATCAAAACTCAAATAAGCATGCGTTAATGTTGCGTTAGTTCTATTAAATAGAATAGAACCTAGAACAGAGGTTCCCAGCCTATCTGGAACACTGACCAATTTCAATTTTCTCTAGTCGATAATAGCTAGTTTGACAAGAAATATTAGCATATTATCTAATTTTACTTTACTTACCTATTTATTTATAAACACGTTCATCTGAATGTAGCATAAAGATATTATTAAGTTTTAAACATTAATCATGGCAAAAAAATATTAAACGTAAATAACAGTTACAGAAGAAATCCTTCTACATAATTAATGTTTTGGATTTTAGAAAATGTTGTTTATCGTTCTTTTACCGTTGTAAAAGTAAAAATCAATAATAAAACAATAAATTTACAATAAGACGGGCAGCAATGAAGCTCCTGACCCATTATAACCCGCACACTNCTGTTTCTCCCTCTAATATGTCTCTGACTAGACCTGTTACAGAAGAAATCCTTCTACATAATTAATGTTTTGGATTTTAGAAAATGTTGTTTATCGTTCTTTTACCGTTGTAAAAGTAAAAATCAATAATAAAACAATAAATTTACAATAAGACGGGCAGCAATGAAGCTCCTGACCCATTATAACCCGCACACTCGTAAATTCTTCTCCTAACGATTTCTTTGGTGTTAATGAACCACTTAATAATACAAAAGTTTTGAATGAACGAATTCTCAAAAGAGTTTAATATTCTGATTCTAAATTTGGTCCATTTCTTCCTCGAAAAACAAAAGCCTCATTTTATTTGGAGATAATGAATATTCAGCGTTTTAATTTGTGACACTTTAAGATTGCAAGGGTCAGAAAAACGACTCTTAGTAATATTTTCAGCGCAATGAAGGAATAAATTAAAGGCGCGGGTGATTATCCTTTCAAAGTTATTGCTTTCGAGGTTTCAACTTATTTTTAGAGCTTTCTACGCTGGTGGTAATTGTGCACATCCAGCTAACATCGTGGATATTTTGAAGCCATTAGGATAAAATTTGCACCTTTTATTTCTTTGATGTAAACTTCTTGATCACTAGGTACTTGATGAAGAAAAGTAATTGGGAGAATTGTACCTACACGTATTTTTTGAAATGCATTTACACATTAAGACTGACAGGTAATACAATCTGAACAATTCTCGTATATATGTATACAAGATATTACATCACATCTCACGAAAACATCTGCAAGCATTTTGACGACATTCGCAGGACAGTGGTGTTTTGAGTCGATAATTCAATTTAAAATTGACATGCTTTCATGCATTCTTTTCATTTAAGCTCGGACGCCCCTTACTACTTAAAGGATATGAAGTATGAAGATTGGAAAAACTTTGGCGGTTATTGAAGAACAAACAAAATAGCTCAAAACCCCAACGCCAAAACACGAAACTGTAGTTGTCCGAAGCACTTTTCGGTAACAAGGTTACTTTCTTCAGGGACTCTTAGTTAGTTAACTCAGTTAGTTCACTTTTGTTTATTTTAAAGGATGTGGTTTATTATCTTCACTAAATAGTATAAAACAAAGTCGCTTTCCCGCTGTCTGTCCCTATTCATTAAAACTACGCAACGGATTTTCATGCGGTTTTTTTAAAAGATAGAGTGATTCAAGAGGAAGGTTTATATGTATAATACGTGCATAATATAATAGGGAAACACGGATAATTTTAGAGATTTCTAATGTGATGTCGTAAATAAACACATTTTTTGCGCTTACATTGCAAACGCTGGCTGAACCCTACGAGATAGATCAAAATAATGTACTACAATATTGTACATCTTAAAAGAGTCTACCGCGATGGTATATGTCTATCTCTGAAGGATAACCCACAATAACCATTTTTATCCTTTACTTTTTATGAGAAATAATGGCTTATTTGCGAAGCGATTGTAAGCAATATAGCATTAATTCTTATCCAACTAAGTACCTCAAATATATTGTGCATTTAATATAGATCAATATGGCCCTTTACAGCATGTAATTTATATGAATATTTTCGAAGATATTACAGATTTAAAATGCATTGACATAGCGGTGCGGCGGTACCGGCCGGGAGGCCGATTTGTAATGGGCGGTGGTGGTTAGATAGAGAAAGAAGCATTTTCCTACACGATCTTTTTAACCTGTAAAAGACCATAGATGTTGTCTGCCTCTATAAAAAACGTGAACTACTGATCTAGATCAAAGCTTAAAACTCAGGAGAACACCGATTCGATTCCGGGTTTGTCTGCCGTAGTCCAAATTTTCTGAGGCTTCTTTGGATAGCTTAGGGATTTAAACAAATGCTAGAGCAATAATATTCTATAGATAATCTTCTGTTAATCCTCTGTCTTATCTTCGATCGTTTTATTTTTCTCTCCCAAGATCCTTATAAGAAGGCTGAGAAGAGACTTCCACCTTACCCTCCGGTTTTGGGCTGGAGTGAAGACTAGTAGTTGGTAGGAATGAAACTCACGAAAGACTTTTTTATAGTAGTCTACGCAGGTGACTCGAATTTCTACTTCCTGTATTACAAAAGACACAAATCCTATTTCGTTTTTTCGTCGTTACAAAGAATTCTTTTAAATCAAAAGATAGCGAAATGACAAAATTGTCTTTTGGATGAAAATACACAAAGTTCTTAGATGCGGAAGACAGACAAAGGTACTAGAGTAAACGAAAATGGAAAAAATATTAAGAGCGTATCTAAGCTAGTTGCATTTTCCGGTGAGTGAATTTTTGTTTTGCTTCAGGGCAACTGCACGTGGAACAACGTGACGGGTCGTCAGGTGTTGCTAAACGACACGACACTTTTGCAGCTTAGCGAAGTGGAACGGCGTGTCCTGCGACAGGTGGCGCTCGCCAAACTTCAAGCTCTCAACCTTGGGGTCAACATCAAAATACCAACTGGTGAGTTCTACTTTAGGATCAGATATGTTTAATATCGCATATAAATTCAAACGCAATTCTCGCAACGATAACTTTTCAATTTGAGTACACTTCCTAAAATATCCACAAATCCTTTACCTTTTAGCGGTTACTACTGAAAAAGGGTAAACTGAAACGCGATAACAGTAAAATATTCTATAAACTTCCAAATTTACTACTAAAAAAGGGTAAACTGAAATGTGACAGTAGTAAAATATTTCATAAACTTATAATACTCCTATCACGTTTTTGTTTCTATTTTTTACTGTAGTTCGTACGTTTAAATGTTGCGATTATAGCTATAAAATCAATTTTTTATTTTAAAAGGTAAATATTATTAATCCTGCTGTTAAATACACAAAATCAAAACTAATGCACTAAGGGATCATCATCATCACCATAAGGTCGTTAGTCTTAAGACTGGTTGGACACGCACCTCCACTCTTTCCTATCCTGAGCCAATCTTCGCATTTCCGTAAAACTAAAACATCCCACATCCTTAAGTATTTGCGAACACTAATCTAATTTAGGTCTACTTCTACTCCTCTTAACTCCTGTTTCTCCCTCTAATATGTCTCTGACTAGACCTTCATGCCTGAGAAGGTGTCCTGCCAACATATCTCGCTTATTTTCTGTTGACTTCCATAGAGTCCTCTGTTTTGCTATTCTTTCTTATACTTCTTCATTTCTAACCTTTTCTAGTCACGTTATCCTCATCATCCGCCTATAACACAACATTTCGAACCTTTTCTTTTCCGCCGCGTCCGCCATTCATGTCTCGCACGCGTACAGCGCCGCGCTCTAGACATACACCTTTAACAATCTTTTTCCAATTTCTAAATTAATTGTTCGCGAGCATAGAATGATTTCTTTTTATTGAACACGACTCGACCCTGCGCTATCCTCTGATTTATATCCCCACTGCTCCTTCCGTCCTGACTTATCTGACTAATACCTTGATAGCTGAAATCAACCACTTTTTCTAATCTTGTTTAATATCTTTAGATTCGCTCTTTCCTTAATTTTTCTTTTCATGCATACCAGTATTTTTATTTTACTTTTATTTATTTTCATACAATACTGTTTTGACAATACCCCTTTCATTTTATTTAAATCTATCTGCAACTCCTCCTTGCTAAATGCTTATACTAAGGGATAAAATAGAATATTCATTATTTAGATAGCTGATAAATTTTTTTCGTGTGCACATGCTTTGCTAACCTCTTTTATCTAGTACTGGGTATCAGGTTGATAACGTCCAATCGAGAAACAAGTGGCCGCTAAGACTCCTTTGAAGTTGACATGAAAAATTAGCCGCAAATTAGCCGTGAGCCAAAACTTAGCTTCCAATGAAGTTAATATACGAAAAGTATAAACTCAGTTACGAAAATTATAAACAGTCACGACCGGTTTCATAATTATCCCTTCATTAACGGACTAAATGATGACATTTTGAAAAAAAAAAATTCGATCCCCCTGTTTAATATCTACATTCCTAGAGGTTAATTGACGGCTAATTATGACATCGGTTCTGGCTGTCTAGGATTTCCCTAACCAATTTTACAATTTTTTCATGCTAATACAAATTAGGTTAGTATGGATACTGCTTTCGAGTTTCCCGCGTCCCGACATATTTTTGGCTATCACGGGCTGATTTGCAAAATATTCACAACACGGTTTCAAGCTTGAGACAGAATGTCTATTACTGTCTCACTCGATATTATAGCGATTGTCGGGTCATTTAAATAGAAAAAGACGCTATTTTGAAAAAGCAAATTCGAAACGCCAGAATTAGTGGAAAATTGAGTCCGGTTCCAACTTCCTACAATTTTTTTACAAGATTTTACAATTATTGAAAGTTTCCTGATTTGAAGTTAGTACTTACTTACTTACTATAATACCTATGCAAACTGGTTTTCGGGTTTCCTGAATCTTATTTTTGGCTTTCACGGCTTATTTGGAAAATATTCACAGCAAGTTTCCACTCCGATTTAGAATGTCTCAATATCTCACCGGATATCCTGCCGTCAAGATCGAAAAATGACGCTATTCAAAAACAATTCAACCTCTTGGTTAATAATCCACATCGTCAGCGGTTAATTAGCCCCTAATTATAAGCAAGGTTCTAGTATTTTCCTAATCGATTTTAGAATTTTTGCATGCTAACTACAAATAAAGATTTCCCGGGTCGCGGCTAATTTTTCACTTTCACAACTAATTTGCGGCTGATTATCCGATGGTTTATATTTTATCTGCTAATTTTGCCACGCCATCTTCGAAGATGTTCCGCTTGGAAAAGTTAGCCGTATTAAACTGGCGTATGTATTAATTAAATATGTTAAAATATCCGACTGGTTAATACACCTACATCTCCTACAACTTAGTGGGGTTTAATTACTCCACAATTTCTGCGATTCCATTTCAAAGTATAATTTTTCGAAATGAGTTTTATGTAAATCTTCAACCAAATCACTTCAACTTATATCAACAGCTTAATGAGTGAATTTTCTCATTGTATATTAATTCTATTTGCATTTTTGAAACAACTTCATTCAAGGATGGGACTATTTTCAGCACTTTGGAATGTATCTAAAGAAAATATCAGTATACTTCGTTTAGTTTCTCTAGCGATGTGACCTTCAGTTTGACCGGCACAAAGTAGAAAAGAACAGCACTAGGCCAGAAAAGAAAGGAGACAACTCTCGGCCAAACTCTTAACCGGTGAGGAGCGTATAATCTGTACAGTACTACACGGAAAAATTGACCATTGTATCCACTAAAATTGCTTTGCTCAAATGTGCTGTTATTTGTACCAATTACTACTGAAAATATCAACGAGATGTTTATTTACATTTGAAGATATATTAAAGCTTTAACGCTTGTTTTCGACTCGCACTACTATTCATGATTGAACAAAACTTTTGGTAGGTACTGTATGAAAAAGTATGTTTAAAGAACAAGAGCCGAGAGTATAATGAGCTCTTTTCTTCCTACCTACGATTTTGCCAGCTTGCATCCAAGACATTGGATGGCACACTTCTCTAGGGAAAGTAAACGAAGTATACCTAATGAAGGTTTTTCAATAACGGAACAATGCTAAGTCACGCTCGCTTTATTCTATATTCTCTGGTAAAACTAACTAGGAATTCCCACTCATTTAAGAGTCAAATTCACTCGGTCATACTATGAATGCATATACAGACATTTGAAAGCAAAAGGTCACTTGTATTAATTAATTGTAATGATATACTTACAATTAGTCTACTTTCCTATGTAACATTTTTTAATCATGAGTAACGCTCTCTATTATTGTATGATATTTTCTGGACGGTTTTTATGTCATTACATAAGAAGATTAGACTCCTTATTAATAGTTTACATGCCTCGATCAGTAGAGACAACACTGCACAATGATATAATTTAATAACGGAAGTATAATATAAAATAAGTATAAATCCCCTGCAACACGGCATGCGGACTGCCTGACTGTATAACGGGGTTGGAGCGGCCTGGAACATGAAAAAACGTCCTGGCACGTTGCCGCTCCACGTGCCGTATAATATGACCTTAATATACACCCTTTTTAATTATGATTTAATTTTACTTGTTTTAGATTCCACGTCCAGTCCGACTTCACATAAACCCAAGAGAAGGGCGTATTTGTTGAAAAGAAAGGCGCTTACGACGGGTTTCTTCGAGGGTAGTAAAAAAGAAGGGGAAAAAGAAAAGGGTGAGTTGTACTTACGTATAATGTGTAAATAAAACTCTTTGTTGTGGTTGAGGAAATACTTTTAATAAAAAACATTCAGTTCCCGGCTGGCAATTCAATGAAATAATAATGACATAAATGACAATTCCGAACTAATGAATTCCCTTTAATATTAATATATTATATTATAAAGTCCTGGTAAATCATGGAAAATGTCAATTCCGTCCCGTGTTAGTAGTATTTCACTGTAAACTACAACGACGCTTGTTTAAAGATATAATCGCAACCAGGCAGTTCTAAAGCCGATCCTGACCTTTTGCGTACCTAAGTAACCTCTAACCGCTGCACTGTTTACTATTATTCGGTTATCTCTTTTCACTTAGTCTGTACTACTCATGAAGCATTTCCTAACTTAACAAAGGAAGTGCTCAAAATGAAAGAAGATATGTCCATTCTTGCGTTAAACTATTGCGGATTTGCCAATTTTGATTGTCCCAACTACAACTCTGATTTTATTCTATCTTCAGTAGAAAGACCAATAGATTGAATTTTTCGATACTAGACTTGGCCTAGATGAAAATGACCAACCCTTTATCCCTGATTTAATCAAAACAGCTAACACTGCTGTATGAGTTCCTTTCTCAAAATCCACAAAAACAATTTGTGGTCAAAACTGATATTTTAGTGTTGAACATTCAACAACGGCATATTTGAAGCAGATACATATGAATCTTCTTTTTATGCGTGGAAAGTAAATATTTGGAGCACCTTGAAACATAGTACCCCAAACGGAATATACGTGTCTCAAGAAGGTCATTAGTGTATTTCGGATGGAATTTACACCAACCCGGTAAATCACTAACAGAATCGAAATTTCTGAATGTTAAAAGCTTGCTAGCACTTGTGTCGCCAACTAGTATACCTATAGATTCAGATATACACCCTTTGATAGGACATTACTAAACACTTAATTACTACAAATATCACAAAAAGGCTCTTTATCAGTTCAGTCTCCTGTCTCAACTGCACGCCGTTAAACAACATTCAATGAGTAAGTACATACAGCGTAGTGTCTCGCCCCTATTACCCTTAGAGTTAGAGATAACCTAAACTGGGTACGTTTTTCACCTCGCTTGAGGTTAGAAATAGAAAACACTTCCTGTAGAAACCATACCATCATCGTCTTAGGATCGTAAGTCCTAATACTGATTAGGCACACACCTTCACTCTTTCCTATCCTGAGCTAATTTTCGCTGCAAGTAGAACATCCCACATCCTTAACTATTTATGAACAGTAATCTAATCTGGGTCTAACCTCTCCTACTCTTAAACCTCTTTTTCTGCTTCTAATATGTGTCTAACCGGCTCTACATGCCTGAGAAGGTATCCTACGAACCCATCTATTTATTATTGACTTCCATAGCATCCCCTTTTCCTATTCTTTCTAATACCTCTTCATTTCTAACCTTTTCTACCCACGTTATCCTTATCATTCGCCTGTAATACCACATTTCGAACGCTTCTAACCTTTTCTTTTCCAACATGCCCAGTGACCACTTTTCATACCCGTTTGTAGTCATACTCGGACACATACTTAACAATCTTTTTCGAATTTCTAAATGAAGCACAAGAGTGACTTCTTTTTGTTAAATGCACTATCCTTTGCTATATACATTTCTCTACTGCTCCTTCCGTCTTGAATTACCTAATTTCTTAGATACCGAAATTCAGCGACTTCTTTTAATTTTTCGTCTCTTATCTTTATGTTCAGTCTTTCTCTACTTTTTCGTCTTTACATACCAACATTGGTACAATCGCCGTGACCTGGCCTTTTTCAATTGTCCAAAGTTTTCAAGTCATTGGCCGAGGGTTTACGTAGTAAGTGTGTTGAGTTCAGCGACTTATTTTTTGACACTTCCAAATGGATTTGTGCCCCTTCTTCTCATGTTTCTTTTAACTGCAATTGAATGCGATCATAATTGGGATTTAGTATAGGTTCGGGCACTCGGTCTTCCATTTTTGGGTCTGTTCCTTGGCGTCCTACTGTTTACATTCAATTAATTTTATCAATTACACATCAATGAGACCATTGCTTTAACTGATTTGGTATAATTTGATATGAGGTATGATTAGAAACCTACATATATATGACATTTGACTTTGAAATCGTCCTCTATAAAAGAAAAACAAATGTCCAAAAGTTTTACTACTTTGGAAATACCCGTTTTATTGTTACAAATACATTTGCAACTGTACCTTTTTGATAATAAAAACCGTTTTGCCATAATTTAAATTTAGAATTGATGAGTCACATTACAAAATTATTTTAAGGAAGGATAACGTACGAATTTTTAATTTTAAATTTCAAGGCCAACATCGAAACAAAAAACTGGGGAACACAATATATATGTACATCTAGACAAACAAAACAAAATTTTATTTTTAAACATTCTTTGGGGAGTTTTATTAGGTTTTGGAACGTCTACTATTAAAAAGGAAACAAAAATCTTAATGATTTGGCAAAATAAAATACTTATGTTCGTATCTTATAACAAGATCGTAAATCACTTGTTGGCAATGTTTAATGTATTTTGTTGCATTCAAACTGCATTTGTGGCAGTAGCCACCAATAGGTGGGTGCAGACGTACTTAGTGTAAGTAAAAATTCTACGAAACGATTAATCGAGGAGTGACAATGTCAGATACCCTTAAATTCAGTGCATACTGAACATCAAATAATTTTAAATGTTGTCATCCTGACATGTTTTCTGTTTCATGAATTTATTGATGTAATAGAAGGAATTTAATACTTCATAAACGAAAAGTAATGGGTACATCAATAAAAAAGAACCGGCTAAGTGAGGGTTGTTTTCTCGTTCTCGCATGGAGGGTTCCGTAGAAATTTGTAGGGAGCATTGCTGGCTGGTGGGAATGAAACACCCAAAAGTTTTTTTTTCCTTGCTAGATGATAATACTGCTATATCATCTGCAAATCTAAGCATACTAAACTTTTGCCCCTCTATATCTGTCCCTTCAGTTGTACTGTCTTTAATGATGTTGATCGCGTCTTTGATGTATAGATCAAAAAGTAGCGATGACAGTGTGCATCCCTGTCTGACTCCCTTCCTAAAATCTACTCCGCGTTGCAGACCCAGCTCTATAACTGCCTGTTAATCTTTATACAAACTAAGTATCACTCTTCTATCTTTGTAACTCATTCCTACATTTTTAAGTATATTTAATATCTTGTTCCATTTAACATTCTCAAAAGCTTTTTAATTAAATACATATTAAGAGAAAATTGTCATTATTGCTACTTACACTCAAGCATAAACCGGAAGAAGTTCCTGCTATGATTCTAGCAGCATACAGCCAGCCAGCTGAATTAGCGCATAATATAACAATTGCACTAATAGTTACAGGCACCATCGATACAACAAGAGTTTTCTTTCTTCCTATGTATTCTATAGGGTAACTTGCAAACATACTACCTAATCCTACCCCTACAAATAATAGGGAAGCTATCAGAGATGTTTCGGTCTGTAAATGAAATAATAATAATAAAGAAACAAAAGACAACGAATCTTAATTAATTTTAATGGATACTTTCAAATTTAAGACTTACCGAATTTAATGTAACGCCTATAGGTGAGTTTGCAGATGTAAGTTGTGGGACTGCAGGGGAAGTCCATACGAAATGAGTGGACACGGCTGCTATTGTTGTCATGGCTAGAGTGAAATAGAGTAAATGTAGCTAACTAAGGGATGATCCAGAGATAATTCTCAAATCATCGAGAATACAATAATTTGATAAATAGTTCTGAGGAAGGACCATTAGGATAAAGTTAAAGTTTTTAAATTTCTAGATTAAACATAGTACGCTTTGCTTAGAATGACAGTAAATACTGTTTATCGAGATGAAAAAAAAATTTTCTATCCCTCTGGAACAGTAGTTTTTTTTTCTGGATAAAAGGTACCCTATATCTTTTTCTGTAGTCCTGACAATATGTGTACAAAATTTCATGAAGATCGATTGAGCAGTTGAAGAATGAAATGGTAATAAACAAACAAGCAAATTCAGATAGGCATTTATAATATTATAGTAGTTAGGATTATAAAAGGTCATCCATTTGGATTTATGATAAAAAATCTCCCCCTAAATTGCACAAATATTTGCAAACATTTAATAAAGGTAGATATAGGAAAAAAGTGATGTTTGTGACATGTATATTTTG